ATGTTAGCCAGGATTCTTGTTGTGGACTTGAGCTCAGCTTTCAACACCATCAACCCAGACACCTTTGACCAGAAGCTCACCCATGTCACAGTGTTGACCTGCAGCAGCAGGTGAGGCTGGAGAGCATCCTCTTCCAGCACCAAAACCATCAGCACCCTGTAAGTGTGCATACTCTCCTTTTGTATGTATACAAATGACTGCACCTCAGAAAACCTATCTGCAAAACTTCTGAAGGTCACAGATGACACTACTGGAACTGTCTGGATTCAGAACCACCTGGTACTTAACTCACTGAAAACGAACACGCCCTCGCCTCACCATCTTCAACAACACACTGTCTACTGTGGATCACTTCCAGTTCCTAAAGGACACGCCCCTTTTTCAGGGCCTGAGATAGTCCTCACACATAGACACTGCTCAGAAGAAGGTCCAGCAGAGCCTGAACCTAATACAGCAACACAAGGAGTCTGCACTTCTTCTACACACCCAGCACTGTGTGTTTTGACTCATTCACAAAGCAGGACGGGTCCAAACCTCAACAAACAATTATGTTTTCAAAGAGAATCATAAAGGCTGACCTTCCCTACATCCAGGAGTTGTACAGGTATTAGGTCAGGAGAAAGGCAGCAATGTCTGGAGACCTCACACCTTGGACACAAATTGTTTTGTCGTTTACCTTCAGGCAACGCTACAGAGCAATATTTGCTGAAATCAGCTGACAGACAGTTTCTTCCCCTTTTCTATCACTCTGGGGAACACTTGAGTGAGTGTGAACGGATCAACATGTGTACGCATTGAACCATGTTTTCCTCTTTTGTAAAAACACTGTATAGTGGACATTTTTATAATACAAAACTGTAATTATATATATATATATATATATATATATATATATATATATATATATATATATATATTTAAAATGTATTAGTTGAAAGCAAAGTGGAACCAAAGTCAAATTCCTTGTTTGTGTGCATAAGCTTAGTGAAAAAAGCTAAATCTGATTCTAACAGAATTGGTCTTTTTATTAGGCTAATTGGCCAAGTAGGAATTCCTGTAAAACACTTTGTATTTTAAAACCTTGTTCACCTTATTTTATATTTGTGCACTTTCCTTATAATAAATTTCAGAAAATCAGAAAGCTGAAAAATAATCTGTGATTAGTTGTAACTTTGTATGTTGAATATTGATAGCGTCAGTTATTACTCACAAATAAGGAAACACCCAGCTTGTCCAGTGAGCTGTACCGGAACTAACACCATGCCTCATCTGACCTTTGGGTTTATTTTAACAGTCGTTTGTGCCAAGATTTCCCCATCAGCCAAGAAGAGAAGCAGCGGAGCCAGAACAACACACCTGGACAGATCCAGGCACTTAAGCTAATGTGCTATTCTTGTTCTCTTGTGGCAGTTCTAACATTGAAAGCTGATCAGATGTGACTGGCTCTAAATCTTGGTCATATTTAACTTTTACCTCTAGCAACAAACCTAGATCATGCAAACATGAAACCTATTTATTTAGAAGAGAACTTCATAAGTTCCTGGTGATTCTCTGACTTTTATAAAGTTCAGGTCATACTATTTTGAGCCATAATCTCCAATTTATAAAGTTTCCCTGTAATCTGTTGGAGTAGACTTTTGTGTTTCTCGTGTCTAATTGGAGAGCAAATCTCACCTGAGTGAATCTCAGCTTGATTGGCAAAAATTTTAGTTTGTTCATAAGTGATTAGGAAAATTGATTTTAGTGTGAATTCTAAATCTATTCTCATCTTGAGAAATGCACAGAAATCTACTCATGCTTCATTTTACTTGACAAGGCTCCTTGGTGAGGTAAAGAACTCACTATTTAGGCTTATTACTGATAAGCGGTAAGACTATTTGGTTTAAAATCTCAAATTAAAAGTAGCTTAATATCTTGCTACACTTCCTTGTGCTCAACTACTTAACTGGCTTACACTTTAAGCTGTTTTCACACTGTTCTTTTGATCATAAAACATGAAAGTGCAATCAGTTCAAGCTGTGAAAAATAAATGATCGCTAATTAACTTGTGTAGTGTTGTTTCATGAATTATTTTCTCCAATTTGTGTGGTTCCCAGATGGTAAAAACACACAGTAACGAGGCACCATCAGACTGTAAATATACTTCACAGAAGGTTGAAAGTTGAGATGTTCATTTGTAAGATCTCAAAAGACCATAGAATCTGATTGATGGCATAGCTGTCACATTATATTTGTGTGTGTTAATATGCCACAACAACATCATCAAGCCTTGGCATTGCCATTTAATTTCAATGGCAAATAAATCCAGCTGCAAACATGAGAAACATTATTTCCAAAATCAATTTTTTTTAAAAAAAAGGACATCTTTGGTCTATAATGACCTCCTGTTCTCGTATTTTTCATACATAGGCCACAGCCACATGAATATCAAAAGAAAAAAACAAAAACAAAACATGACAACAACACATCGCCAGCCTCACTTCTAACTTTATTTGTGTTCCAGGGAAGAAATCTACAGCATGTTTACGCGCTCATGCCTCAGTCCTCCATTTCCAAGGTGGTGTGTGTTTGCGTACGACAAACGCTGGGTTCTAAAAATGCTTTACGGCACCCTATGAAACACTGACCTTTACAGAAAACCACCAAACTGCTCAGAATGATATACTGTGCACATGCTCGGTCATGAATGTGCGCTCGTCTGGGCCCCATGCACATGACCACGGTTTACATGTGGGTGTGTGTGCACACAGTAGCCCTCCTGTGTGACATGATGTACGGCCAGAAACATTCTACCCCACCAGCCATCATTAACTCTGATGTACAGCCAAATGTCGTTATGTATGCTTGACTGCATGATTTACCGTTAGGGACATAATGGAGTGGCTACTGTAATGAACTCGCAGAGTGTTTGATGTACGGGACACTGCTGGGGAGAGGCAGGTTGGGGGGGCGGGAATAAACACTACATCTGTGATGGCAGCAATTACAGTGGTGATGATGAAGGTGATGAAATTTGTCTCCTCACTTACGACATGAGCACTTTCTGCAGGGGAAGGGCAAAAATTAGGAGTAGAAGCAAAAATGAGTTTTGAAGAGCAGTAAACAGAGGAGGAAGGGAAATTATCAGATGCTGCTTTTGCTAACTTTGATGCTGGGACTGCCTGCCATGGCTGGAGGGGAAACAATGACGATGATGATAAGGGTGATAACAAATGGTGATGACACCTATGATGAAGGAGTTCACACTGTACTTCATAGCGTTTTATTATTAAAGCATGTCAAAGTAGGTCAGTCCCCCCTCAGCTCCCCTTGCCTGGCACTGGTTTAATTCAGTAAAGCAGACTTTGTGCACTTGATCTTAATGACGGGTTGCGAGTGAAGAGAAGAGATAAAAGTATTATGGTGTCTGCTGCAGAAAAGAGGAGAAGGTTATGAAGTCAGAGGTCAGAGGAGACGGTGAGGAAGGAGCATAAGGAAACTGGCGCAGAACAAAGAATAGAGAGAACACCGAATACAAAACTTAGAATGCTGAATACTGCAGCAATGTTCTGCAGTGGCTGAATGTGAATTATTTTTCTTGCAAAAAAGATGCAAACTAATGCTTATTTTGTTACCGTATTCATCATCAGACAGAATTCCAACTTCATTTTGGCGTTTTCTTTTCCTACCTCAAGACACTGTAGAACCATTCATCGTTTTAACCGCAGTCTGACTTTGCCCCCTAATGGTGCAAAGAGTTAACTACTTTCATTTTACAAAATGCTTAGCAGGACCTAAGCCTTTTTGTAAAATGGCTTAGCACAAACAATCTGGCATTAAAAATAATAAAATAAAAACAACACTTTAAAATATTTAAAGTGCTAAAGAAAATTCAAAAACCTCCAATGGTTCATGTTCATGATATATCAGGGTCTAAAATGACCTGCTCTGCAGCAAAGATCTATGAGCCCATGAAAAAGAACCAGATATGAAGTTTTAAGCAGAACTTCATGCAGCATGCCTTAGAGAAATCAAACCACCAAGAAACCCTTCAATGGAAATGTTCCCAATGCTCAAAGCAATGGAAGGGTCATCACAGCAAACTTATCTTTAGTATTTTGAATTATAGAAATAACACTTCTGGAGAGAAAATAACATACAACATCACAAAGAGATTGCTGGTATTCTGGACCTTCTAAACCAGAATGTTTTTAACTGGTCAAATATGTTATCAGCACAACACATTTTTGACTTTTGGAAAAAAAAAAAAAAAAAAAAAAAAAAAAAAAGGACATCCATATTCATGTGGATGTCAATTGAGTAGTAGAGCATCTATGGGAAGAGTTGATAGTTATTCTTATTCAGCCTGGTTTATGCTTGACAGCTTCAGCAGAGGAAAAAAAATAGAGATGTCTTAGCTTGATAAATTTTAGGGCTAGATAACACTAGGTAATAAACACAAGAGTACATTACACTGTTATTCATTTATTATTTTATAAATTTGCAAATAAGTACAAGATGCAGTTTTTATTTCATGAGCATTAAAAAAACGTTCTGTACAATGAGGATGAGAATGACTTGCAACAAAATGTGGGACAATATCAGGTGAGCTAATTTTATTTATGTAGCACCTTTTCAGCAACAATGTAATTCAAAGTACTTTACATGAATTAGAGGACATACAAACGAACAGAAAAACAGAAGAAAAGCAAAAGAAACAACAAAAGTGCTTCACAATTATGAACTACTAGGAGTTTCTCTGAATCTGTTTGTTGTAAATGATTGGGAAGGTAATATTTTTGATTCCTGTTCTGGATTGACTGAAGTATATCAACTAAATGTTCCCGTTCTGGGTTGCTGGATAAGAATAAGTACTCCACAAAATGCAAACTAAAAGGAGTTTCTCTGGATTAACCAAATTATTTACACAGTATAAAAACTGTCTGATCAGCACAGTACTTTAAATTGCTTCGTTCATATCAACGCAGTTTGAGTTATTCTGGTTACATTTTGTTTCACATTTAATTTACTCTCTTTTTTAATTTCTCTTAGTGATAGAAACATAGTCATAGTCACATTATTTCTAAAACAAATTGATTGGGACAAGGTTTCAAATCAAAAAGCTTCCATACAGAATGATTGCACAGCCTGAAATGCTCAAATTCCAAATACATGGTTCACTTTTGTCAAATGACGATAATAAAAAAAAAAAAAACTATTAAAAAATTTAACTAATATGTAAATTAGTTTAATTTTTTTAATTTTTTAAGCAGTAAACCTGCAGACATATGTCAGCAAGGAAGAACTTCACTAACCCGAAACCTATTTTTAAATGTTTTTGTCTTCCTTGCACCCACAAAAAGGGAAGGTCCCACAGCACGGCTGCAGCCAGGGTCTCCACAAAATCTTTTCCCAGCTCATTTGGTTTTGAATTGTGTTGGGTTGAACTTGAACGTCATCAGATCCCTCTTTACTTGGAAAGGTGCTCTTATGTTTCTCTACGGCTTTGGCAATCTGCTGGAGGATTTCAGCGTATCGAGGCTCAGTCTCAGGGGTCAGCTGTCGGGACTCCGAGGGGTCGTGGAAAAGGTCGTACAGCAGCGGTGGGTTATGGTGGGTCACATGTTGGCCATGACACAGGCAAACCCTAGTGTCATAGCACCCCCCAGCGCCCGGCGGAAAGAAGTTTGGCGTGAAAAAATGCACCTTGAAGATGGAGTTGCCTAACAGAGACACACAACAAAAGCCAGAAACACCTAGTGATTTCTTCACCATCACGTTTGCATAATGTTTTGCCGAGAAAGTCAGACATCACCAGTGGAAACAAGCCTACCAAATGGTTTGTTTGATGTCATTGCTTTTATTTGGGAACATCTATAAAAAAAAAAAAATGTGGCACTAAAACCAGGAAGCAGGAAAGAGAAAAAACTTGACAAGTGGGAACGTGTTGTAACAGGCAGTTTGGGCACTGACAATGTTGAAAACAAATCGCTAGTAAATGTTTGCAGCAGTTCACCAAAAGAACCAGAGAGCCCAGTCTGACAACGGCAGAAAACAGGAAGGCTGAACGGAGTTCAGCAAAGTTGTTCTGGTTTATCCGAACAACTTTTCCTGTTACATAACAACCACTGCCTTTTATGTAACAGAAAATGATGGAACCTTTTAGGAAAGCTTAGATTCTCAATGGAGTATACTGGGACACTTCTCTTATTTCTAACGGCCACTATAATAATTGCATGCACAAGACATGTCAGCTTGCATTTTTTCTGTTTTCAAATAATAGTAAAGCTCTCTTTTAGATTCAGTTTTCTCACACAGTTGATGTCACCACTGTTCCAGCTGTAGATCATTAATGAAGACAAAGGGCAAAAATGAATGTTTTTACATAAATGTTGTTATAACTCCCATTACAGCTGTACAAAAAAATATGTATTGACAGGGAAACACCTGACCGGAGAGTAGAATTTAACTACAAAAGTCAGACATATACATCTCTACTTACCATTTAACATAACATTATCATATGTTATGTTCAATATGTGGGTTCTAAGACAATGAAATGTCTCAACTTTGTTGTGTTTTTTTTTCTGTCACTTTCTGTTTTTTCTGTCATCCTTTAGTGAAAAGCCACACGTCACAAAACAGTCATGATAAGATCCGTTTCAATTCTGTCTCATGGAAATATTTCATACCTCATTAAATCTGAAAATATACATCTGCTGAATGGCTGAGCACATTTCTGTTTCTGCGTGTGTGAACTTACTATCAGGTGGATGCCACCGCACCGCATTCAGGTACACACCGCAGTAGTGGAACATGAATTCATGCTCTGATCGTGCAGCTTTCCCCTCCAGCAGTGGCATGAGGTTATAGCCATCTAACTGTCTGAGAAAGAGTCAGAGTAAGAGAAGAGAGGACTGTGAGGAATGCATGAGGAACAACACAGATTTGATGTATGTGAAGATTCTGTGACAAAAATCTTGATGACCTCCCTTGTAAAGTGTGTGCACCTGTGCTTTACGCTAAAGGAATTAAAGTGAGATTTAGTTCGCATCCAGACATTTTTCTCTTTTTTTTTTTGTTGTTGTTTTGGCTAGACGAGCTGTTGAAGATTACAAAAGTGTCATATTATAAAGTATTGGTCTGTACCTATCTGGGTGGGTGTCCTTTGCTAAGTATTTCAGGGTGGGGTAGAGATCCATGAGGCTCGTAGGCTCATCAACTACTCTCCCTGCTGCCAGTCTGCCAGGCCAGCGAAAAATACCAGGGACCCTGATCCCCCCTTCCCAACCTCCCATTGCTTTCCCACCTGGAGATGAGGCAAAAAGGCAGAAATTACACAAATATTTGTGGGAGTGTCATCGATCAAAATCACCCTGATGTATGACTGACCTTTATATATACTGTTCCAGCCTCCTTTCTGGCCGATAAGAGAATCAGAATCTTCTAAATGCCCACCATGGTCTGAAGTAAAATGCATGAAGGTATTGTTGGCCAGGCCGAGTGAATCCACCGTTTCCGTTATTTTACCTGAAAACAGTGGAGGTTGGTGAGATGCAATCATCTGAGATAACACAGTAAAAGGTCACTCATTCTTTCCCTTTTCCACTCTTTAAAACTTAAAGTTTATTGAAATCTTATGCTTTTAGTCAGTTATGAAGTCCTTAAGTAAAATAAAACATTCCTGCCTTCTGAGGTCTAACACAAGATTTGCACTTATTAACATATTAGGTTTACGCCTTTTGACTTACCAATGATCCAGTCCACTTCTTCTAGGTTGTCGCCATAGCGACCGTGGCGGCTCTTTCCAGCAAAGGCAGGCGTTGTGAACAGGGGCGTGTGGACATGAGCCAAAGAGAAGAAGAGGAGGAACGGACGATCAGCATTCCTAAAGAGGAATGCCAGAGATGTTCTCAGGCACAACATCTCTTTAACCATTACCCATACTGTTGTAACAAACAATTTAGATGGACATACATAATAATGTGGACAAGATTAGCAAAATAACAAGTTCCCACTATGCCAAATTCTCAAGTGAACTAAAATAATTTACTAACTGGGGTGATAACTCCCTGTTGCTTCATTCCTGCAATTTGTGTCCAAAATTTCCACCAGAAAACTTACTAAGCCTGGTGGTTGGGCTCTGGGGCAGTCATTCATCCAGCGGACCGTTGTGTTCTTGAGTTAAAAAATGTTTAAAGTTGACAGGAAATTTAAAAATATCACTTGATAAATATGTGTTATTGAAAGAATGTAAGATTAATACCCGAACACCAACTACAAAGTCTTAAAAAATGCAAACATTTTAAAAAAAGACTTTAAAAAATAAGCAATGCTTAGCCCGGTGGGGGCACAAGTAAAGCCTGGTGGCCCGCCAGGCTTAATATAATGCACTGAGAGAAACCATGTGTTTCACAAAAAACACAAAGCAAATAAAGCTTAACAGTAATCCTCACATTCAGTTTATAAATATTAAATAATAAAGGATTTCTAAGCGTAGGTTGCATGCTAAGGTCATATCCGTAACAAGTGAGGTCAAGAGTAGTGTTTTGGTGTGAGAACCACTGAGCTACACTTAATCCTGGAAAACAATTGGTATTCTATTATGTTTTACTAAATTTGGTATAATTCAAATCCATAAAAAAGATATTGCAAGCTGATAAGAGTTTCAAACCATATTATTTTCTTGTGTAACAGTAGTTCTAAGGTATATCTACTAAAAACACTCTTGGATTTGCAAAATACTGACAATTAATGTATGTACTCAGATAGTTTTATCTGAGTACATTCACTGATTCATGGAAATAAACTCATATTATAAAATAATCGCCAGTGCATAGGTAAAAATATAATTTCCTTTCTTTATTCTTAATTTTATTTTCAGGCTGAACAGAATGTTTAAAAACTCTGACTTAGTAATACATGATTTTCTGTTTCTACGGGGCGTAAATATGAAGAGGCCAATTTTGCTTGGGCACTCTTCACAATGAGAAATGCAAGAGACAGATTTATGTTAATGTTCATAAATAAATATAGAAGAAAATACTGACTGGCCTAAAAGTGTTAATTTCTACAATCAAAGTAATAATTAAAAAGCAACTAAAAAAACCCCAACAAAGGGCAGCTTCATATACTTTCCAGGGACATAGTGCCATTTTATAGCACAATCAAATAACTATTCCCTTCAGTTGTTTATGTCCTGAAATTGTATGCTCCTCCATTATGTCATTTACAAATATTCTCAGCAGCATTGAACTGAGAAGTATTTAGTATGGCAAACTCAGCATACCTACTAAAGAATGCTGTTGTTAGTCTGGTGGTGAGGGATTCTCTGTGAGACAGGAGCCCTGCTGGCGAATGCATCTTCAAGGAAGAGTTTTGGGTAAATAGGTTGTGGTTTGTCTGAGCAAGCGTTTAGGCACACCCAAATAGCTGACATGGGAGGTTAAGGGATTTGTCAAACATGAATGGAATAATCAAAGCGACACTCCATGAATGTTTTTGATGAATGAATAACATTAAAACATTTAATGAAGTTCAAATAACGTCGGTTTTACATAAAACCCTTCAAGCCCTATTATTGAGTGCTACATATTCTACTAATATATCAACTGGGAAAGTTTTTTTGCTGATCAATGAATGACTATGGAACTACTTTTATCAGTTTTGATTGTTTTAGTTTAAATTATTCCTTTATTTTGACCATTTTGTCATTTTATTTGTATTACTTGTCATTAATCTATTTGAGCTCTCTCTAACTAAACTATAGGAGTTTTGGAGAATTCCTTTAGCTTATTTGATGCTTTTTACTTTAGGTTGTTCTAAAGTTTACACATATCTTAAAAGCATCAAATTTGCAAACACATCATAATCATTGGCTTATATAGGAGGTATATATCTAGTATAAATTTTTGCTAACTAAATATAAAATTAAAGACAAATTTGGCGTATCTGTGAGTTTTGAGACTTTCTGTGGGGAAAAAAGGACAGAGCCGCTCATTATTTTGCACCGACATGCTTACCTCTTTATGAAATTCTGTGCTTCTGCCAGCAGTCTTTGGGACAGTGTCTCCACTGTCAAGGGCTGTTCTATCACATCTTGGTTCCTCATAATGATGCAGTTCCAGGTTCGAAGAAGCCCAAAGGGGACATACCACACAGCTGCTGCTACTGTGCTGACAAAGAAAAGTAGCACCAGTAGCCACAGGCTAACTTCAAGGAGCCCACATAGACGGACACACACCTGAAAAGACATATGGATCGAACATACACAAATGTATTGACTCTTTTACATACAGTTTTTATGTTACAGTTTGATTTTGGTATACTGAGACATACTGACGCGTATCATGTTACACGGTTGTCACTTTGAGATTCATGCCATTAGATACTAGTAGTTTAAATGTTCTTACTAAACCTGTTTCCTTTCTTAAACTATCAATAGAAAATACTCTACTTGGCTGTCACTCTTAAAGGCTTCTATGAATTTCTTTTCATTTACAATTTTTGCTTCAAGTGCCATTCCCTTTGCTCTACCTGTGGAACAGCTGGTTTCTATTTGTCCCACATGCAACTTTCCTTGCCAGTTCTTCTGAATTTCAGTTTCAACATTGGGTTTTTCCTTAATGTGAGTCTCTGACTAATGCAACTGAGTTTCACAACCAAGTTTCTGTTTTCAATTTGCTTCTTAAACCCTTTGGCACTTGTCTGCATGATTACACGAGTTGCTAAGCTTTTGACTTAACACAACAGTTTTTTTTTTTGTTTTTTTTTTTTTTTATTGTGTTCCTTTTCATCCAGCAAAATCACAAAAAAAAACAACAAAATGAAAACATATCTGTTTCTTATATATGTGGAGAAAGAAAAATAAAACCAAGACAAAGTCACACCCACCATTGTAAGAAGTCCCAGTCCAAGCAGTAGGGTTAGATGTTGGAGTGCAAGTTGAAGATCCACCAGCACATCGCTGCCCTCCCCGGGAACGCAGTCGTTAAAAAGGGTGAATGGCAGGCCATAGAAATAGCTGAAACCATGCTGGTTTGGGTGATGACAGTGATCACCTCTGGATTCACAGTTCACACCCTGGTGCCATTTACCTGCAGGAGCACAAGATTAAAAACAGAACTCTATTAATGTAAAGACAAAAAAGAGCAAAGAGGCCGCATCGTTACATAAATCTTCAGACCTTTCATCATGCATAATTTGGTCTGGTTCAATTAAAAAATTCAGCAGATCCTACTACGTTCTTTAAAATGTATTTCCTTATGTGTCATCACACATGAGCATAAGACTGAGTGACAAGGAAAAAATTCTAAAAGGCCGCTGCTATTTGCTCTATGAAGACTGGAGAGAAAAATACTGTCTACTGAAAGTTGGTGGTTTGATGCAGGAAAAGCAAGAATTATGGGAGATTTCAGCATCTGCTTCACAGGGGGTTCATTAAAAGTGACAAAATAAATTAACTCTGTGACTAAGATCGGTGAGAGTGTGGATTTTAGAACTCGCAGATTCTTGTAAATAGTTTAAATAGTCTGGGGTTGTGTTATTGAGCACAGATGTACAAACAAAGTTTGTATATTTTTGAAACCATCCTACTTAATTGCACATTTCATGGAACTTGAGTGTGCTATTTTTAACAAATGTACTGTATTTTTTCTTTTATTGGAAATGTTCCCTTATTTTTATAATATTTTATCTTTGTCTGAATTTGCATGTTTCCATATTTCACTGATGGGACACCTAAAATTTCATCTAGGAGGGACAATAAAGGATTCTATTCTATTCTATTCTATTCTATTCTATTCTATAAAATAAAATAAAACTCTCCATCCATTAATTTTTACCTCTGCTAAGTACAACTTTGAGCTTATGCAATAGCTAGTTCAATTTGCCCTCATTTGCTCCACTTGCAAATGAGAGGCTTTGAATCGCCATGAATTTAGTGCAGGCTTCTTTGTGAATCTAATCCGCATATAAAGAAAATAGCAGAAGCGAAATTGCTACAAACGATGGAGGTAATGTCATTGATTTGTGAATTGTCTATTCAATTTTTAATAAAAGTATGTTGGAAGAGTTATGAGTCAGACAGCAGACCCGATCGCCTCTTACCGACTAGGCCGGTGGTGTATCCCTGTTGCTGCAGCCTCTTAGCAAAGGTAGTCTCATTAGGTGGAAGTCCCCCTGAACCTCCGAGAAACAGCAGTACCTGGACACGGCCTGGGCTGGCCATCCCTGGTCAACACATATGAATGCAAAAACAAATTAAACAAAAACTGATGGAACCTTGCATGTGGTAGATTTAACTACACATTATCATGTAAATGTTTGGCTCTAAGCAGGAGATCATTTACCTGAACGAAGTGGATAGCGGCCTGTCATCAGAGCGGCCCGGCTTGGCGTGCAGAGAGGAGCTGCTGCGATGTACTGGGTCAGTTTTACTCCCTCTGAAGCCAGTCTGTCTATGTTGGGAGTTCTTCGGGAACAGTAAAAAATAAAAATGAGTAATATAAAACGTATAAAACGTATAATACAAACATTACTTTGTATTATACGATTGTTTTAGAAAACTTGGTACTAAGACCAGATCTAATTACACACAGCTAATCCAGCTGTTATTGGCAGCCTTGGTAATTTGTTCTTTTTCTGAAGCAGCACACTCTTCAACTGAAAAATGTGAAGAAGATTTTTTTTTCTCCATTTGTTATCATCCTACTCACTGTGAAAGGTGACAGTATAAACTTGCCTCTTCGTCTATCCTTGTTTATTACAGTTCCAGGTTTTCCAGATTCCAGATTTATATATATATATATATATATATATCATATGGGAAAGTGCAGGTGAGTGGCTTTTTACTTGTACAGTCATTTCCTGATTTTGGAAGCTCAGTGAACTCTTACCTAAGTCTATGTTTTTCCTCTCTGTCCCATTTTGAAGAGTAGCTTTGTCACAGTTTTAGTTGTTTTAAACACTTTCTGTAAATATGGGCAAGTTTAGATGAAAATTTGTTTGATCTAAATTATATTTTTTCTTGTCTTTCCAATTTTGAAAAACGGCTACGTCAAAGATACTCTGATCAACTTAAATGTGTATATTATATTAACATAAAAACAGCTTCAGTTAGCTAGACTTACTTGTGATGTTCTTATCATGAATATATTTTATTCTATAAATGATTTTACTAACATTTTTCAATTTCACAGATCTTTACTGAGGACATCAAAAATATGGATTGTGTATGGTTTACCTGATGGTATCATTGCCATAGCAACCTATGTCCCCAATCCCGAGGTCGTCCACCATCATTAGGACAAAGTTAGGCTTCTTGTCCTCCACCTCCCCTTTGACATCACTTCCTGATGCCAGGAGCAGGGAAAGAAGAAGAGGTGCCAGCATGGCAGACCTGAGCAGAAGACAGTCATATATTACTCCTATTTCTTTTTCCCAAAAAAACTTACGTCGTGTTAGTTTGACTGACATGAACTTTTATATTTTGCTAGAAAAAGTGATTTAAATTTTATTTTTATATTGCCAAAACACATTGCATTGACTAACTGCATAGCCATTCTGCAAGGGATTTTGTTTTGCCTCTAAAGTGCAAATTATTACGGGGGATCTTTTAAAGACTGCATGCTATTGCGTAATCCCAACACATGAAGTGAATCTGAACACTTCTTATGTAAGGAAGGAGTGCCCAGATTCAGATACGCTGTTATAAAACACCATTTGAAGTGTGAACTCTGGCAGAGTCCGCACGGCTCTCCGAGCAAACGTGCCGCAATTAAATGCAAGCCGTAACGTGAGTGAATGAAACTGAATGTCTCCTGATTAACTGCAGCGTTAAAATGTATTTAAACTCCTCGCAATTTAAACTCACCTACATGAAACTACTCTACGCTCAAAGCTGTTCCTGCTCTGCTCAGGTCCCTCCTCAAAAGGTTTACAGTAATAAATGTCACTAACGCGCAACACATTTCAGGCTCCAGTAAAACATGTAGCTCATGCGCCACGACGATACACAGTTAAGGACTGCGTCAAGGTGTCGTCAGAGTTTTCAAATACAACAAACAAAAGGTTAAAACAATGAAAAGATTACAGAAATTTAAAAGTGCTTTTCACCGCTGTGTTGCTAATAGACAAAATAATAATCAGAGCCTACGAAACTTAGGTAAGTACTAGTTTTGAGGAATATTAGCGTTATTATATTAGGAGATGCGCAGTATTTTCATTTGACCAAAAATTTTGTTCTTGATGTGAAATAATGAGACTTCTTTTGCTAAAATTGCATCTTGATAGTTTAAGATGCAGCAATCAAACCCTTCTTACAATTGGTGACTGTATTTTGGCATATTTCCACTGGTATGTTGACTATTTATCTCTGGTTGAAAAATGTATTTTTAGTTACAATGCCTCCTTGTCATCACTTTAATTGTCATTAAAACATTACATAACTCTCTGTCTTTATAGATCAATGTAAACTTGAATTTAAATGATGTGCACCTCAGTAATTAGAATATTATTGAAAAGTTAAATTTATTTCAGTTATTCAATAAAAAGTACATTCATATTCTTTAAAGAAAATTTGACAAAGAGTGATTTTTAGTATCAGTTTCAGGTAATTTTAATAATTATGGCCTAAAGGTAAAAAGAAAAAAAAGACAATTAAAATATTATAAAAGATTAACAAAATATAATTTATATCATAGAAATGTTTTGTTTTGGGCTTCACAATCAGCTGTCACTGATGTGTAATCTTATACATATAAGAAGCTGACTGTTCACAGTGTACCAAATCCATTCATATCAGAAGAAAGTAAAGTGAAAGGAAAAAGGGTGTTCAAAAATGAAGCAGAGGTAGCACAGCATAATCAGGATATTGTAGTACTGGCAAGAGGAATATGTACGATGCCAAACCAAATAAACCAGACAAAAAGCCACTAATAAAACAGTCTGGCCTTTCTTAGCAACTCACAGTTTGATAACTTCCATGTTAACCTGTTGAACAAGTTTAACTGCCTGATTATTAAGCCCTTTCTTAATACTTTGAAGACAGAGAACGCCAAACTGTTTCTGAGAGATTCAAATATAAGAGAAATGTCTTGTCAACAGATTCGCAACATATGATCCATTCACTGACACAAAGAAAAAATGAATTGGCACTGCTAGCATATGATCATTGTTAAAGAGATTTATCTGTATTTATATGAGTCGGTTTATTTAACAGACATAGACAACCAAGCCCTTCTTCTTTAATTCGGTATGAGTCATGTGAGAGAAAATTCAGCCTCAATTATTTGTAATCAAAGCAAATTTATTAGTCATCACCAGGTTTCTGCTCGCACTGCTTGTACTTAGTTAGAAAGGATGGTTCTGTGTGGGTGCAGCAGCTTCAGGGTACAAAATAAATATGTGCACATGTAAAGGCATCAACAGTGCTTGTGTTGTGCAAGCTCAACCTCAAGCAGGTTCCCACACTTCGTTTCTAAGGCTCTAATCAGGTGAATCTTTATAGGCCTGTCACCATAAATCATTCACAGAACCTGCACTTGACGTGTGTCTTTCCATCTAAAATACTTGACATTCCAACTCTTTCATTTAGATCTCTTCCTGGCTCTTTTTTTTAATTATTCCTCATGAGTTCTATAAACTTTTTGACATCTCGAAGGCACTGTAAATAACAAGAAGAAACACTCATTCACAAGTAGAAACTTTGCATCAATAAATCTTTCCACAAGAGTTTGTGCACAGGATTATATTGGCTTTGCAAAGCCTTAGTCATAAAGCGTTTGTATGCGCGGATCAATTTTTACCATTATTGTCCTTGGGGTGCATTGCCTTAGCAACATTACGATAGGTTTCCAAGAAGGTCCACATTGTCAGGCAATAATTTTCTAATCAAAAGTCCTGCTGAGACCTATAAAAATGAAATAACAATTAAGTTAAGGGACATCCAACAGCTGACAGACAGTTCAAGGGTTTGTCCTTATCAACCCATGGTAAAATAATCTTGTCCTTAAAATTAGATTGTATAACCATGTTTAGAGTCTGGAGTCTCGGATAGAGCTTTTCTCTGTATCTTTTCTGAGCATCGCATGCTCTGGAATGATGTTGAATTTGGCAAAACAGCCACTCCTCAGAAGATTAGCAGTTGTCCCAAATGTTTTCCATTTCTGAATAATCTTTCTGACTTTAGAATGATGGACTTTAAAATGTTTCTAAATAGACTCAGAACCATTCTCAGATGGGCAATGAGTGATTTCTTTCCTTCCTAGCATTCTGCTAGCTTGCTTCAAATCAGCAAATTGTTTTTACAGAGGTGGACAAACTCTTTTCCTCTGAAATCTTGCTGAATCAGTAAGGTACTTGGCTTTTCCATTTTTGCTTCATCTTTGTAATAAATGAGTGTGTATTTTGAATTGGAATTGTTAGTATAATTTGTCTATTGTAAGAGAGATTTATCTGTCTTTATGAGTCAGTTTCTGTACAGACACACAGCCGAACCCTTCTTCTTTAATTCAATGAGTCATGTGAGAGAAGATTCAGCCTTAATTATTTGTAATAAAAGCAGATCTATTCAGGTTAGATTTAAATAGTTCTAGAACCTGATAGAGGTTGTTATTATGAGCAGGTGCATATAGTGGTGTGAGCTCACAGTTAAAAACATTTTCTTTTTTTTTTTTTGTCACGTCACAACGCCTCGATATTATCGAATTTAGCCTTTTCTCACTTTTTGACACATTTAAATGTTTCAGATCACCAAAAGCAATTTTATATCAGACACTGATAACCTGAGCAAATAAAACATGCAGTTGATAAGTTATGCAATTTATTTAGCAACAATAAAATCAGTATTATAAAATGGAACTATAAAATCCTAGAAAGGAAAGGAGTATGTTCTTATATCCATGACAGCACTCATGTATATCCAGTTAGTGACTGTGTTTTTTTTTTGTTTGCTTTGTTTTTCTTTTTTGACAGCTTAACAAAATTTCTTCGTTAATTTTCTAATATATATATATATATATATATATATATATATATATATATATGGTATGCAAATCAGGTTCTTTGTAATTTGTAACTCCTTTATCTTTAACCTTTTTTCAGGGACAAATTTTAAGTGTAGAGATTAACTCAAATGACGTTTTATGGACAGGTATGGATTACTCCTTTATTATTCCTTTATTGGTGCGACAGGTCAAAAGTCTAGAGGTGATTCAAAGGGCTTTGTCATCGTCTCGTGCCCGTTGCTTGTGAAAGTCTGATGTGCAGCAAAGGGAGAAGTTCTTTCAAAAGAAATGGACCATCATCGAGATTCTCCCAAACATCACGTGGTCTTTTTCTTTTTCTTTTTCAAACGTATTTCTTATCATTTATCTTTGCTGGTAATCTGTTGGGGAGGAAAAAAAAAAAAAAAAGACAAAAGACAAAACACACAAACCAACCAGAAACTCCCACGAAAAGTTTTTAATCGACTTGTCAAACATTATTTACACACCTCCGGTCGAGCACAAGTGCTTGAATGACATTGAAGAAGACAGTTCATACATGAAATATCAACATGGAATATTAAATTAACAGGAAACGCTTTACACTTGTCTAAATGCATTTAATAAGTCAATGTGTATACAGGATAGGAAAGTGCTTCTCCAATTGAGAATGTTCTTACAAAACAAAACAACAAAATCTCTGCTCATCTTTCTGTTGATGTTGACACTGTTCTTTTGTTTCCCTCTCAGAAATATTCAAGATGATATAAATGATAAGGCAGCACTGGTTAGCGTCATGTTTGATGCCCTTTTGTTTGATCTGGAAAGTGCACTTCAGGACCCAAAGGTTTACATTCTGGTTTGGATGCTGCAGTCCGATACATTGTGCCTTTGTGGGACTTTTAGGGGAAAAGTGTAAAGCAGATTAGCACTGAGGAATTCTCTTGCGTATTAAATGAGTCTGAATTTACACTGCAGTTACATCAGAGTGCTTTTGCTGAATCTTAAAGCACCCCGTGGAATGTGCACAGAAGGGGGAGAGCGCTGCACTTAAAGGAAGATAATCTGTTTTAAAGGCATCAATGGCTATCTAAGAAAGCTTGTACTGTTATACAATGGGTAGTTTGTGCATTTTCACTCTACGCCAGACATATTATCCGCTTGCTTTAACATCTCAAGATAAAACTGTCTATTGTCTATCGGTGGTTACAGAATAAGACGGCAGTTAGCAGAGCTTCAAACTTGCGTTCGGCCCACAGTTCATAAAAAACAATTAATGTGACATCACAGACTATTTCTCAGCTCAAGGCTAGGCTGTTAGCAACAGTCTCTGTCCTGTATTGCAGCTATGTAGTGCTTTACAGCTAACACCTCAGGAATTGCGACACTATACCACCAGTATAACCACATTATTTTTGTTTAAAAGAAGTACAGAAAGTACAAAATTTCAAGGCAAAAGAAAAGACATTTAGAAGTTAATTTGTGCTACAGTGGCAGGAGACAGGAAAAAAAAAAAGGCAGTAGCGCGGCGTCTTCTGAGGCATTTTCACAAAAATCACAAAATACCACAGGAATCTAGTTGACTCAAAAAACCATCAGTGTCGGCTCAGAGGCACCACTGCTAAGATGGTAGAAATTCATATAAAGGTCACAGGTGAATGTTGTCCGTCTATGAATGATACAAAATCACTGACAGCACTAACTGGCTTGTTTCAATGAAGAGACACACACTGAGGAGAGCTTTGCACATAAAATCAGATCAAGTTGGTGGAATTGTTTGTTGAAGAAACAAAGCTGGTCTGTTTTAAGCATGCCGTTTGTTGCTGTTATCACCCTGTGTGTACCATACCTTCAAATTCATTGTGTTTAAATTTTGAGCAGCATGCAGCACCTTCCTTTTATTGTTTCGTGTGATTCGCTTGTTTGATATTATTAGTCCATACGTCTTCTCTGTGTGTCTTTAGATTTACCAAGCCACGCTGTGATAGTGAAAGGCACTATAACAAAGAAATCACTGCATCTCAACTACACATACTACAGAAAAAACTAAACAAAACTAACAGAGAATGCATATACATAATTACATTAAGTTTTTTTTTTTTTTTTTTTTAACTTTTTCATTGTTAGATGTCCCTTTGTCTTTTGGATAAAACTTAGGTGAATTTAAAATATTGGGGAAAAAAACAGTAATGATTGTTGTGTCATAATACTTCTTGAACCTTTTCATATTTTGTCACATAACAACCAATATGTTATTGTCCCCAAAGCAACATAAATAGTGTGACTTGCATTTAATCTGATTCCATAAAATACAATCCAGAAAACTAATGAACTTCTGAAGTTCCCTAAAAACCTGACTGTATGTACTTTAACACACTAGTTAAATTGTAGAGAAGTAAATAGCAGGTTTAGACTAAAAACAAAACAATAGCCAAAGCTCTATTGTTTGGTTAAAAGAAAAAATCAAAGGATATGAACTGTCTGTATCTGATTATTGTCTATTTCAAATGTCAATAAGAAATGTCATCGACTAATCTATTCAGCTGACAGAGAAACAGTCACTGAACAAGATTAAAGTCTGAGTCCCTTCACCAGAGAGAAACAAAACAAATAGGACAAACTAAAGAAAACATGGTACTACAGTGATGCCGTTGGTATTCCAAGCACATGATAACCTAAATCAGGGCATTCCCCTAAAACTAGGAATAAAATCCTCTAACACTTCTCCTATGTCAAAATTCACAAAGTACAGTGATAGTAATTCATGCCACTTCTTGTCCTCTTATTCTACACTTTTACAAGAGATAACTTATGTTATATATATATATATATTTTTTTTTTCTTTCTTTAGGACATTTGTATACTTTCATTATCATATGTTTGGCTCAATAAATGCAAAAAAAAAAAAAGTACTAGTTCAATACGTACAATATCACTCTCCGTTTCTCTAAATGAGGTTTTTCACTCACGGAGAGCGAATTATATTGAATTACCAGAACAATGTAGTAGCCATCTCAAATAAAAGAAAAATGTTGCAGAGTTGGGATATTTTTACGGTTACAGTTAATATGAGATTTAATCTCTTTGATGGCAACTTGACAAAAAAAACAAAGTTGGATTTTGATTGATCATTTTAATAAATTGCCTTGTTGGAATGACCAGAAACCACTAGATCTTTATCTAACTCCTTTGCCCCACACAAGAACGAAGACACACACACACAAGCATACACACGCACAAGCTCACGCAGACCAACACACACTTACACAATCAGAAACACACAGGCCTGCTCTGAGGCCTCACAGTAATTTAGCTCTTCGGGGCAGAGCCTAACAGTGAGATTGCCTCTGCTTGAATGAAGTTGGCCCGGGCTAGTCAGACGTTTGTTGACCGGAGTTTTCAAGCAGGGTGTTTTGCTCTGCATAAAATAAAACAATTGAATGTTTGAATGTTCTGAATGCTTGTATTTACTTACATCTGGTGAGTGTTAATCAGTGTTTCAGTCGTACCGTGGGGTTCCGACTTAGCGTCTGCTGCGGCTGCTTTGTCTGCTCCACTCTCGGGATCTGGTTCTAATTGAAAAAGAGTGATAAAGTCAGTTAAAAGGAAACAAACAAGTAAAAGAAAAGGAAACGCTGCATCATAAAACTTCATGTTGCTTACTAATCACTTTCCTGCCCATTAAAAAAAAAGTTGTAGAATATTGTAAATCAGGAGTGTTCAAGTCCAGCCCTCGACTGCTACTACCTTGTACATGCACCCCTGCTCCAACACGCCTGAACCAAAAGGCTGACTTTCCATCACCAGCAGTAACTCAGCTCTGCAAAGGCCTGAAAATGTGCCATTCATTTGATCCAGGTGTGTTGGAAAAGGAATGCATCTAATAGTTGCAGTGCGGTAACTCTCACGGACTGGAATTGGACACCACAGTTGTTAATTGGACATAATTCGTATAGCCCGTCCCTTGTCATTTCAGTCTTTCAAAGGGCTTTAGAGTCACAATCACAAACACATTCATTCTCCAATATGCAGATTGGGAAACAACTTGAGGTTATGCGCCTCGCCCAAGGGACGAGCGAGAGAAGGAAAATGGAATCAAACCCACAACTTTAAGACTGCAAGATGACTGCTTCACCCACTGTTCCACAGTGCACACAGGAGAATACGACAAGTAAAATAATATTAGTATTCCTTAAAGAGTAAATTATAAAACTCTACTGGATTTTATCTGCAGGCATTGGGTTGAATTATGCATAACTTCTTATTAACTTCACTCCTTTGTCTTTCCTGTTCAGAATTGTAAGGATTACAAATTTATATAAAAAAAAAAGAAAAAAAGAATATCAATAATGTATTAATCTCCCCAGAGTAAGGTTTTTGTTTTTGGGAGGGGGGACTTTCCAGGATAGCATTTCTAAATGTGATTGCTATAGAAACCACTAACACTAACTGGCAATTAAACTAAACATTCAGCCAATACCAAACACGGTCTAAATCTGCTTCTTTGTATGTGTTGCTAAAGCAGAACAGTTTGTGTTTACTGTAAATTTAAACTTTGCTGAAGAGGCGATACTGGGATGCAGGATGTATGTGAGCTAATTGTAACTGCCAACACTCAGTGAAACGTGAAGCTGAGCCTGCTGTCTTTGCAGACAGCTGACCTTCGAAAGGTCAGCTTTTTTGTTTAAAAGACAAACCCTGAGACAACACTTTCTTCTCGACCAGAAACGAGCTTGAAGGAGATCAATTTAAGACAGTCAGTCAGTTCTGATCTCAATCAAAGATGCTCAATCGTCTGTGGCATCCTACCACTAATTGGTAGTACTATAAGTATACGCTGTCTTGCAAAAGTATTTTTTAACAAATTAGTGTTTTTACATTTTGTCATGTAAAAACCACCAAGCTAAATATATCTTAATGGAATTTTATGTGAGTGATCAACACAAAGGACTCAAAAATTGTAAAGAGGAAGGAAAATAAAACTCACATCATTGTGACGTGCACATTGAATTAAACGTACTGATTAGATAGTTTGAAAACCATTTTTCTCTGCATTTGCAGCGTGGCATGTATCGGGTTCTTGGCTACATTTCCAATCACTTAAGACAACAACATTATTTTATTTTCTCCTCTTCTTATTAAAGCAGAGCTCAAGTTCAGTCAAATTGGACAGAGTTAATGTCAGCAGGTATAATGTAAGAAATTTTTAAACCGTTCACAGTACGCTTTAACACTGTAAATTTGACACAGATCTGAAAATTGAAGAAGACATTTGTGTTGTAGTTCATCAAATATCTCAAAATGTCTGGTTTTAGGAAAGCTTAATTCATTGTATTTGGTAGTAGAAATCATTAACAGCTGTAATTTCTGTACTTGCTGTATTACAAAGAAACCCATTTCTCAAACCTACCTTGACCTTTTTTGAAGCACAAATTCCTCTTCTGATAGGAAAAGTACCCACAGACTGCTCCCACTGCAGACGCAATGATTCCAGACAGGATTGCTGCTAAATGTGTAGAGCCTGCACACAGAAATAAAATAAAACTAATTATTAAAGAAATAATAAAAGAAGAAGACGAAAACACTTGAAATGCCAATAACATGTTCACATTCATTTGGAATTAAACCAGGCTGGGTAGTTTTTTGCCCTTTGTGCAAGCATACAGCTACGTAACGCCACTGCCTCAACTAATATAAATAGCACAAATAAGTAAAGACGATTGTCTGCTTAGAACTGCTGCACCCAATAATTTACTCAGCAACAACTTTGCTTAAATTACCTGTTTTCAGTCAGTTATTAACATAACTTACTGCATATAACATCAATTTACCACATCATACGAATGGAATGTATCTGCATTGCTGCTTGGCATACCACACAGTTTTTCACCTCGACGTATTTCAAAAATGAAAACAAGGGCTGTTTTGTACCGGGGGTTGCTTTTCATTCAACAGAGAGTAATAATGGCAAGATACACTGAGATGACCCGACACGTGACATGAGGACTGAAGAGGAAGTTGATTGATGGAATATAAAAGTGGAGTCAACGTCATATGCACACCTGAATAAACTATAAACTGCAGCAACAGGAAAAGGTGAGAAAAACGGGCGAGAGGAGTGAGTCAGTGAACTGCAATAAACGTTGAAAAAAGAGAATGAGTCAACATAATTAGGGGGGGTGGGATGAAACAGGAGACTGTAGTGAGTCAGTAGAAGGAAGTGAATGTCAGACATGCATGAACATGCATGTGAGAAAGAGCAGCACACCAAAGGTAAAGAAACACAGTGAAAGGAAATGATTTTGAAAAGAAGACGGCAGCAAATCCATGCTTTGAGTTTAAGCCACGATTAGTCTTTCAGAAAATGAAGTAATAATAACAATAAGAAGAAATAACTATAGCACTCCTTAACATTTTGTTTCTGCTTCTGTGACTGTTGCTTCTAGTCATTGTTCACAATGGTGCAAACATACTTAATCTCCACAGTTTAAAGAGGAGGTTTTGAAAATGTGATGTGGGAAGCACAAACCAGCTAAGGCCAACACATAACACAAATAAGCAGAGCAAATCTTATGCTGCATGTATGTTTGGGGAAGAGCCTGAGAGGGTGGGAGAATGTAGTGTAACCAGAACACAGAAGAGAGATAACACACCTTTAGGCTTGGGAGCTTCTGGATCTGGAAGGAAAATAAACAAAATTAACAAACATTAGAAAATAACATAGATGTTGCACTAACAACACCTAATTTGCATCACCTTTGATTTATTTGAGTTATAGACATAACATAAGGCAGTGTACAAAGATCCCTTTCAAGTCTTCTCGTCTTACATTTTAGTTTATGCTGTAGTTATTTTCATTACCGTCACCATCGCCCTTCCCCCCAAAAAACAAAGACACAATCGACAAAGAATGCAGCCAAAGGAGTAATGATGGTACACTTTGAAATCTAAACTTGGGCATTAAAGCATAACGCAGTGGCCACACAATAAAAGATTAGCACAGCAAAGTCTCCAGATTGTGTCTGAGTTCAAGTGAAAAAGTATAAAATAATGTATTGGAAAAAAAGCTACAAGACTCATTATGATTTCATTTTTTGTACTACACTTTCAATAGTCAAGGTTTTAATTATTTAAAAGAGTATGGCATTGTATTCCTGAACAAAGAAACACAATGCTAAGATGTATCATCAGACACAAACTACAAACTTTTGCATGGATTTTTCTATTCCGTTTGTCTTGTAAAAGGTATGCTAGTAATATCCTGTTTCACCAAGTTTCAGATCTACATAAGCCCCACTGTTTTTTCTTCTGATTTAAAGAATATGAGCTGGACCTGGTGCAATACAATAACATTTTTGCAGTCATAAATATTTTGATGATGAACAGAAAGAAACAAAAAACAAACAAACAAAAAAAAAACTTACCTTCTGAACTGGCATCAGCCTTTGGAGCTAAAAGAAAAAAAAGACAGGAGAATATGAAATTTGAAAAAGCAGGGGGAAAAAGCATTAGTGAAGTGGCTTGGCAGTACATGTAAGAGAAAAAAACGAGAAGAAGGATTAAGTTTAATCTCTTTGTGGCAGATTATACTTCAGGAGTATTAAGCACTTGCGTTTCTGCCTTAACTGTTTAGGGAACAGATCTTTAAAGCAATAATTTTGACATGGAAGATATGATAGCCATCAACTAAGCTAATCATTACACGTGTACACCATCGTGACGCTAAAAGTGCAAAACTGAGAAGAACCACGCTAAAAGATCCTCAAACAGATTACAACATGCACAATCATGTCCACAAAAAAGTTAATTCTAGTGTGACTTGAGTACACTTACACATGTGTTGGTATCATCACAGAGATAACCTATCAGATGCAAACTCCTTTTGGCAATCTTTGATCTAAGTGATCTGTGTACCAACAGGTCCGTGATCACCATCTGCTCTGCTTGCCCGAATGTGTCTGTTACATCATGGCCACTGCCAGCCTGCTTCAACTTGACAAAGCTGCTGAAGAAGAACTCTTTCACAACAAAATCCATGATTGTAGTGATTAGAGGGAGTCTGCTTTCATGTGGGCAGTACGGAGTAAATGCTGAGAAAATCTCTACTTAATGCACTGCAGTCAAACTGCCAAGTGTGACAAGTGATTCAACTTATTCAAATCAGAGACACGTCATGATGAGCAGAATTCAGGAAATTCAAACATCTGTGCTGTAAAAGCATTTTAAATGCATCTCGGGCTTAGTGTCTTGCAAAAGTACGTAGGTACACCCTGAATATTTTCATGTTGGCCACATTACTGTCAAACACTGTGGTTACAGGGTCTTCTTTGGATTTCTGAACTTATCCATTTGACTTAAATGACATCCAGTTTGACAAGGCTGCAACGTAAATATCTTTGGAAAAGAATATTTGAATGAGGACTAAAATTTTCCAGCATTACATCATGGCTGCAAGATGTTAGGTCAGGGAAGTAAAACAGTATATATAACAGGATATATCAAGCCATCGAGGAAAAGCCCTAGATAAACACTGCTGTGTAATTTATGTATCGCCGTCTCATTCACTCCCCACCTTCCTCCATCTCTCTGCACGCCTCTCATAAACATCCTGATCATATAAAAATAACATATCAGAAGAAAATCTCCATAATGACGTCTTAGCTGTTTTTGTGTGTTTATTTGCAAACAGCACAGTTAGGATCCTTGTGGTCACTCAGGACGTATTTAAATACCTGGTCTGAATAACGCATTTAGAGCAGGACGCTTGACATCCATTCACTCAGTACTGATGTTGATGACAGGGCTGAACAAACCTCTGTAAGACCAGATCTTGTTATATTGAGTTTATTGGTGGCTTGTGTACTTGTAGCGTGATAATGGCGGATTAAATCGGTAAAGTCCCTCTGCGGGACCAGGTACTAAATTCACGGCCAGCCACTGCCATGAGTGACTGTATGTTGGCATTGGCATCATTTTTAATGTGACTTTTATTAACTTTTTATTCCATTATTTATTCCACTGTAACAAGATCTCAAAGCACACGCTATATTACAATACAAAAATGCAAAAATATTTCTTACTACGGGGAAGCCCGTCTTTCATAGCAACATCCAGGTAAGGAAAATTGAAATAAATCAGAGCTTATTATGAGCCCTGTCAATGAAGTGGAGTGCTGTAAATTTGACTCTTTATGTGAAGCCCAGAGTGTTTCGCGACGTTGCCTTGATTGTGCACCCTGACAGGTAAAATTACAAGTTTTGTTAGAGCGGGTTGCCGAACACACGGCACATAATGAAAATGTCAGAAGAAGAGTCACAATGATGACATTTATTTTTATGAAATACAAAGAGCAGAGTTCTGTTGTTTTTCAGCGTGGACAATTAATGTCTCTGGACAAACATTGTATTGATATCCTGGTGAGAAATCTCTATAATCTATCTTTCAAGTTCTCTTTTTGCACTCTATAAAAAACAACTTAATTATGGGAACATGCTTGTCCAAGTGAATATCATTCACAGCGTCTTGTATTTGAATGTGTAGATAACCTTCTGCGATAAAAAAAAATTGCATCACTAAGCCTTATATCAACATGGAAACCAATATAAACTATTGTAGAAATAAGATAAGATTCTACCTAGATAAAAACTAAACAAGATAATATATCTTTACCATCATCATTTTATTCTTTTATTGGTTTCAATAACTGTTTTAGCTACAACTGAGTAATGTAATGGAATATTCTTAGTTAGCAGCTCGATACACCTGATGAAAACAGTGATCTACGGATCACTTGGGCTAACTAAAATATTTTTATCGTGATCCATGTCTTTCCTTGACCAGGTGCTATACATTTTGCTATACATTTCTGAGTTGAACACAATGTTTGAAATGAAATAAATATATAAAAACTGCAAGTGAAGCAAATTTCCTGTAAATGACAATTAAAATAAGGAGATTATCAAACACATTTTAAGGTCAGTGCTTCCTTGTTGAATCATATACTAAGATAATATAAATCGGAGAACTCCTGAGTCCAGTACCCCTGGAAGCCCGACGCATTTCTACAGAACAAGTCTGATATTTCAGCAGAAAGGGTGTTAACTGTGTGAGGTTTTTTATAAAAGGATATAATTTGTCACGAATGATGCCTTAACTCTATCTTAGGGGAAATCCCATGGTTGTTTTAATTCACGGATATGGGTGTGGCTCAACCAACGTAACAGATGCGGATGAGGAGGGAGAACTACAATCGGGGCTTTAGCAGGCTGTTGATAAAACCTTTTTATCTCTTAACAGTTTTTACTTTTATATGACTGATACATGTGATAAAGTTTTTTCTTGACATTTGATACATGAATCAGACCGCCACAGTCTTGTGCCTTTCGTAAATCAACACTTTCGTTTGAAAAAGAAAAGAGAATAACACCACAGTGAAATGTAGAGAACAAAGAGTGGTCCCTCAGCTGTAAAGTCAGTGTAAATCATTTGGGAGGTGTCTTCAACAACCAAATGGCAACACCCAAATGTGGGAGGTAAAAGTGTGCGAGTCAAAATCCCACCTTAAATGCAATCCCTGGGAACTGTATATATAAGCAAAACGGCACATCTGTTACTCATAATTTTTCAGAAATTAGTGAGGTGCAATAACTCTATACACAACAATTTAACCAAAGACATGAGCTCTTTTAAAACAACCAAACGAGAACAAAACAAAGATCTGAAATGTCTTTAAATATTTCCTGACAAACTTAAAAGGGCTTTGTTGTTGCACACAAAGTGAATCGCACTTTTGATCTCAATTTACTCCTTCTAAACTCCCAACATAAAACAGTTACTCTTCCACTTTAAGCACAACAAACAATAAAAAAAAAAAAAGTTCTATTCTTTGAGACTATCCAATTATTTCTCCCTGATCTCTGCAGCTTAGGTGAGGCTTTAAGGGCCAACCTCCACAAATATGTCCCCATTGAGTTACTAATATCAAAAGGACTGTTAAAATAAAATAGAAACCAAATTAGAATGAATAAAGTTAAACAAAATTTACCTTGGTTAAGATTCTGTTGGACATTCGCATTTACAACTGTAGGAAAAGACAACAAAAATTAATATATCAGGTAAATAAAAAAAAAGCAGCAAGAAATTACTAAAATAAATTTTCTGTATGAGATCATTTATAAATGACATGAAAAACAATATTAAGATAATACTTTATAGATTAATTAATCAACCCATGTAAATATCAAAGTATAGGTGTATATCTACATAAGTATAAAAGTAGAAAGCGAACAGATTACTGCAAGGTAATGAAACCATACCATACCATACCAACTGTATTTATAAAGCACTTTAAAACAACCACAGCTGATACAAAGTGCTGTACATTAAAACACAACATAACAATAAAAAAAATAAATAAAAAAAAAATAAAAAAATAACATAACAGCTGAAACAAAAAATATGATTGAAGGAAATATTTTTTTTTCTGATTTATTTGTTCTATTTTCACTCAAAAATTGTTCAAGAGAGAATTTTATAGCAGCAAACACAACAAACATATTTTATTGATGAATCACATTTCTTGTTGGTTGTTGTGCCACTTTTCCTTGGGGATAAAAAAAAAAAAAGTATTTTTTAATTTTATTTGAATTAAGCTTGTAATACAAATGCCTGTATCTACAAGCGGCATAAAGGCACTAATTCAATAAAAAATAAAAAATAAAAAAAAACTGATCCTCCAACATCAGTATACACTGGAACTGAACCGACTTGTTTAATTTGCTGTGGAATTTCTAATCTGAGCCTAACAGTTACCAAGAAACTCCTTTGTAAAAATGTTCCCTCCCAGAATAACCAATTTACAACAAGATCTGCCAATCCTTTGTCACATATGGATCAAGCAGCAGCAAACAGTCTGCATCAAACAGGATGCTGACTGACAACTATCTGGAAAGGTGAGTGTCTTGCAAGACATGGAAAAAGTAAGTAATGGAAACTGCAGCATTTTGCCAGAAGAAAATTACTGTGGGAAACAACAGACCTCGTTTCCACTGACATCAGTTGTGGCTGAATTGGTGATATATGTGTGAAACAAAGTGAAAATTTGAACAGTCATATGTATACAGTGGCATGAAATGGCTCAAATAGGCATTATGGAGACATTATTCTATAGAGATCAAAGTTGTCTGCTGTCTTAAGCAAATACAATTGGTTTTAGGAATGTTTTAACGTTTCTTTGTTTTTTTTTTTTTTTTTGCCTGTTTAATCTGCTTCCATAAAATTCACAAATAGTATTTTTTGAGGTATTAAGCTGCCCCCCCCCAAAAGAAAATAACACGGGAATATCATTAGGCGGGCAACTTTTCAAGGCGGTCTAAGACGAGGGGTGTGTTGTTTTTTTTATTTCGTGTGATTTTATGGCACATTTACTGAATAGGTTCTTTCCCTGTTCAACCGCCATAAAATGAGAGACGGCAGCTGTATAAACAAGTCTGGACAGTTTCACAGCATCGAGAGATCACAAAGTAAGACCTCAGAATCATCTGTGTTCAGATCTTTCTGCACCATGTCCTTTTTTGCTAGATAAAAGTCATACAAGAGCCAATATACCCAGGTTGATTACCAGATTGATGGTACAAACATTAAGATTTTTATTCCATTGGCGCTCTACTGTGCACACTCCATGAGGGAAGCCACTTTTCCACTACAAATGTGGTTGTTTTCTAAAGACTGCATGGTTTGCTGTATAAAATTTGTCTTAAATTGATTTTGAATCAAATCACCAATGTGTCTGTGTCTTTTGAAAGGGTCTGCTCTCTTTCTAAATGAATAAAAAGAAAGCATTAAGCTGACCCTGCCGGTTAGTTCATTTGCTTGTTGTAAGAATATACTTGCATCATACCAAGAGCTCGTCATATAGCCCGCCATATACCATTTTCACATTTTTGTCACAGCCATCAAGCTTTTTGTTGGATTTTATGCAATAAGCATAAACACAAAGTAGCACATAAGAGTGAAGTGAAAGGAAAAACGTGTACTCTTGTTTAATTCCTTTAACAGATCAAATCCCCAAAATTCTTCCTTCTATATGTGTAACTACATCCAAATACAAATATTTTCATTAGGGAAAAAAAAAAAAAACGGGCTTGAGGAAGATGACACCAGAATGTTGCCAACTTTTAAAAACCCTGTATAGTTTAAACTAATACTGCAATGGTAAAACATGGTGGTAGGAGCATTATGTATCATGGTTGTCCACACCAGCCCTGAATACAAATGTGAATCACACCTTTCATGTTTTTATGGTTGGCGAAAGATGCTGAAAACTTTGCATCTTTTATCTTTCACTTGATAATTAAGCACAACGCCATGTCATATGTAATCCCATTGAGCACACTGCCATTTACGGCATTATAAAAAGTGAAAACGCTCATCATCAATGCTTTTGCATCAGTTATTGCAAGCAGGATTTAAATGTTGCATCTTAATTAATTTTCTGTTTCACATAAGTTCTTACTTGTTTCGTCGATCTGTGGAATATGTTTTCTTCCCTCTCTGACCCTCTCTTCAGGCTATTGAAAATAAACCACAACACACATAAACCAGCAGAAACGAGATGTGTCAAAGCAAACGTTTACTAAATGGTTTTTAAAGTCTTCACATTACAAGCACTGACCTTAGAGGGTGCAGTAGTTGGGTCAGCAACCTCAGGTACAGGAGTTGTTTTTTCAGGCTCTTCCACATTATCATCATCATCTGAGTGAACTGGCAATACAAAGAGAGGCAGGACATGAAATAGCTTGCCTAATTCTACATTATTACAGTGTACAGAAAAAAAAATAGTCACTGCCAACTCTCAGTGAAGATACTGTATCATAAAAATAATATCAGCTTCACAAAAGTTCATTACCCCCATGGCTCTGCTTCAAGAAATTAGATTTTACAAATATTTTACAGTGATAATATTCAGAAAGGATTAGTGTAGTACTATTAATGTAATATGACATACACTAGTTGAACACGTACCCCAGTTCAATTGCTTTTTTATACAAATAGTGAATCAGTCAATAAAATGGCAGCAACTCAATGCAAAGCATTTAGACATCTAGTTAAAAAAAAGTACACAGAATAACATTTTCAGATAATCAAACATATTTAGAGGAAGCAGAAAACATCACACCAGATTCCACTTCTGTCACCTAAGCACACAATCCAATCTGTCTTGTCTTTACAATTCATGTTGTTGGTGGTGGTTTAGTGGTTGGGGGGATATTTAGTTCCACACTGCGTGTCCCTAGCTACGACTTGAGCATCATTTAAAGACCTCAGCCTGCCTGCGTATTTTTGCAGGTTTTTGGACCATCACACTGACTGAGTTTGCTCCACTCTTCAACTGTGACCAGCTCTCAGGCTAGTAGAGCCTTTTGGGTGCACAGCAGGTAAATCTGCAGCAACTGTGTGACGCAATTATCTTAACATTGACCGAAATCTTTGAGGAATGTTTTCATTTTATTATCACAGTTAATAAAGTGGACTATGAGAATATAGGTAAACGTTGAATTGACAAGATTAATCTAAAATAAGCACAAATAAATAATTATTTTCTAAATTACCTTGTGGTGTGGGAGATGGTTCAATTTCAGCAGCCACTGTGGAAGGTGCAGGTTCTGCACCAACAGCAGGTGCAACTCCTCCTGAGCCGTCTTCTGCAGACGGTGCTGTAGATGTCTCTGACTCTACGACACCGTCATTCTCAGCTGTAGCCGGTAGCTCAGGGTCATCTTCTTGATCAGGCGCTGCCGTTGGCTCAGGGTCAGCCGCTGGGTCAGGGTCAGCTGCTGGTTCAGGCTCTGCCGTCGGCTCAGAATCAGCCGCTGGGTCAGGGTCAGCTGCTGGTTCAGGCTCTGCCGTCGGCTCAGAATCAGCTGCTGGGTCAGGGTCAGCTGCTGATTCAGGCTCTGACGTTGGCGCAGGGTCAGCTGCTGGGTCAGGGTCAGCCGCTGGTTCAGACTCTGACGTTGGCACAGGGTCAGCTGCTGGGTCAGGGTCAGCTGCTGGGTCAGGGTCAGCCGCTGGTTCAGGCTCTGACGTTAGTGCAGGGTCAGTTGCTGTGTCTAATTCACCTTCTGTTTCTGGTACTTCCTGTATTTAACAGATTTTTTTTTAACACAATTGAAGTTTGAGAGTGTTTGTAGTTATTAGTGCAGAATAAGGATGTGGTACACTTTATAGTGAGGCACAAAAATTAATGAAGAATCAACTTGTACATCATTAATTCCACAAAACTTAACAAAAAATCAGCTTCTACTTATGTCATTACCTCTCATGCTCAGCTTTCAAATTTTCACTTACATATATTAAAAGGATAGCTTTTTAGTCTGTGATTTTAAGGTAACACCTTGTACACATTAGAAACAAGCAAATCAAACTGAAGGGAAGCATTTTGTTTTCCTCACCGTCTCTGCTGCGCCATCAGCTTCTCCATCAACCGCTAGATCTACTGGTTCTGTTGCCGTGTCTTCCGTCTCTGGAGCAACCGTTACGTCTCCCTCATCTGGATGAAGTCATGTGAATAAAAAGAAAGCAACAGAAAAACATTAGACTTTTACATTATATACTGACATGTTTGAGCGAAAGGTCCAACTCTTCCGCTTTAAAAGAAAAACTGGTGAAATTAGACAGATCTGGCCGCTCAAGTCTCAAAAAGCTTGAATTGCCTCTGAATTCTTTCAGTGGGTAAATCCCTGAAAAGATTCCCATCACTGATCAATACTCTATTTGTTATTGAATGAGAAAACCTGTGTTCAGTTTAAAGCAGTGCTAACGAAACTTCATGGTGATGACTGTGGAAACACTGGGACGATTCCTCAAGGTCTGTGAGAACGCACGCAGATCCAGGGCCACACCCCGTCCTCACTGATCCACGATGTTAACACTCAGCTCTGAAGTGGATGACATGCACTTCGATCTCATCTGACCCCAGGCAGCACTCAACGAAAGTCTCAACCTCAGGACAGCTGTTGCAGCTTTGCACTAATGAGAACACTTCTTCTTTGTTGTGCGACTGTGTGTGTGTGCGTGTGTGGGCTGGAGTCAGATTTGTGACATTCCCCTGTTTCGTGTGAGTAGCTAAAGCAACAAACACCGTTTAGTTTTTATTTGTCTTTGCTCAGCTGATTTCACATGTAACCTGAGGCTGAGTCACCCCAGCAGTACTTTTCCGCTTTACAATAATTGAAGTGGTTACTAATGATATTTTGTTAAAATTCCACAAATTTTCAAGTCAAAGCCGCACCAGTTGCTGCGAACAAGAAACTCTTAATAAGTATGAGCGTCTATTTTGAGTAATGGAGATGAAGATGCTTAAAACTTTACATGCTTTTTGTATTTATGTTTAATCCTCTGTAAGAATAAAGGAAGCAGTTCTTAGGTGGTTGCTGCGAAATATACACAGTCACATCACAACCCTAACCCCACCATGTTGAAGTTGCCTACATTGCAGTTATTTCTGAACAAAACTAAATATAAATAATAGATTAGCAGACAAAATGTAAACAATTTGTAGAGCCCTGAGAGAAAACCATAGCTGGCTAACTGCTAGCCTCTAACAACATCCAAGTCAGGATGAGCTAAATTGCTTTCCATCGCAGCTAAACAAAAGGGTATTTCTTTGTCTTTTCATTGAATCTGGACATCATCTGATGACTTCTAAAATAGTCAAACTGATTCAAATTTCATAGAAAGAAGGTGGATTTACATTTCTGGAAATGCCATGCTACTTTTAAAACCACAAAATAGAAAGACATTTGGACCACCTAAGAACTAGGCCTCAGCTTCAACACAAATACAACAATTGTGGCATATGTTTGTTTTGCTGTGTTTATTCTTTCCTCTTAGTCATTGCATTGTCAGCTTGCATTTGAAGAAACAGAGTCGGACTAAGCTAACTGGATTTGGAGAAACTCACAAAGGATCTGGTTCACCGCAAATTTCACCAAATCCGTACTGAAACACTGTTAGAGGTAGTTTTAACAGGAAAAGGGACAATAAATCAAATTCTGCTGCATGAAACCTCGGCCTGGCCTGGCTAGTTCCTTTAACACACTGGATGTGCCGATGTCAAAGACAGATTGCTGGCCCTTAGAGTATTGACTCCATTGGTGTGGGCTGTTAGAAATAATAGGGCTGCACTTTTTATGTGTCATTTTTCTAAAATATACAGCTATAATCTTGTCTTATCATCACAATATAATGTATTTCATAACTACATTGCCAGGTAATAACGTTATTCTCCAAGCTAGACTATACATGGGAAACACTATGATAGAAGGAGGAGACAAAAGAAAATAGGAGCTATATACCCTAAAACCTTTCTTTAGGGTGATATAAAAATATCCTCTTCCTGTATTTACTGCGTTCGTTCCTAAGTTAATTTTCAAAAGATTCCTCCACCTGCCAAGTCAGATTCCATAAGAGTCAGTGATGCCTTGAGGGAGACCAGCATGAACAATATCTGAAGTATCTCTATCGCACCGTAAATCAACTGGAGGGGAGATGCACTGATGACACCCTGGCTCTTGTCATTCTAGCATGGATTCGGTGGGAACAACTCAAAATTCTTAGAAATTCAGTTTATTTGAACACGTACATACAAGCTATAAACAAACCTGCATACATTCATTTCACTCATTTACGAAAGAGTTTCTGATGCTTCCTTTTTACTTTGTGAGCCCAAAGCCACGCTATCAGCTCTGCATCCAAGCTAAACATTAATCACAGCCCCTAATGAATCACACTGTATGCACATGTGTGCATGGGTGTGGCACTGTGGTTGTTTCAGTTTCCTCATTATTTCTTTGGAAATTGCTGTCTTAATCAAAGATGAATTGCGGCGCACTTGGTTGAATTTGATGAGCCTCGGCATTTCAAATGCTAGTGATAAAGCACTGAAAACATAACCTATACATTATTCAAAAAAAAAAAAAAAGTGCTCATCTTTATCCAGCAATGACAACCCTTGTTTCTAATTTCTCAAACACTACATGAGTCCCGACTTTATCTCACAGGTTAGAGCTTGCATGCATATGAGTGGGAGGTTTGGTGGATTTCATGTAAGCGCTCTAACTCTTTAGTGAGTGTAAGCCTGTACATGCACAGGGAGGGAAGCTACTCCTGGATGTAAACTTCTTCTGTAGCTCCACTGAACATTCTGTTCTCACTTATCAGTTTACCACTACCTCATTCAGCCGCCCTTACCACCTTAACATGCGGAAATACAACTCGTGCATGAATATAAACTGGTCAGGCTTCTTCTTGTCTGTTCCCCCCAGTAATAGAACAAACAATCCCATTTGCACACAAGGGAAGCTTCATGTTGACGTCTACTCACACTTTTAATAAAGAGTGTCCTGTTTTCTGTTACCCCAGCAGTTAAACTTCCTCTCCCTCCTTTTTCTCCTGCTTCTTCTTAGAGTCTCTTACTCCGCTTTCTTCATTCCCTTTCTTACTCACAAAGTCCTAACTCTCTCTTTTTCATTGCCACAACTTCCCCCTGAGGCTGGTGAGTCATCTTAGTCTCCAACATGACTGCATGCTATTGTATGTAACTGCGAACGGCAAAAAGGTCCCTGAGGGAATAACTCCTAACTGAAACCATGTGATTCGTACATACTGATAGTGTATTTGACCATGTGATCCTCACACATGGTCAAGTACACTGTGAGTTCTTTACAACTGGCAAATGCTTTGTTCAAATAAACACAAGTCCGTCTTTCTTACACATTTTTTTTTGAAACATTTGACAGTTACAACTGCAGCCAGAAAGCTCTAATTTGAGACAATGAGCGGCTTTATTAGATAGTACACCATCTTGTTAATTGATATATCTCATTGTCCTTTCGGCTACAAAGAGCAAAGAAGACATTGGGTTACATACTATGACTATGTATTCAGTCACAGGGAACATCGGGAGACAACTATGCACTGGTAACAGCAATTTAAAGTGTTCAATGTACATTAAAAATAAAGGAAACAGTACATGAAAAGATCCCATTTATACACACTCAACAGCTCCAGCTGGGATTCGAACCCAGAAGTTTTGCTGCAAGTCAGTTGTACCAACAACTGCATAACAATGCAGCCTACTAGTAAAAATTTGACAGTGAGTGCCAGTCATTCCTTTTTACTTTTCTTTGTCAGGGTTGAAAATGGTTGGTAGCTATTTCAAAAATGAACAAGGTGTCACAGGTTTACCTAACATGAATAAAAACTGTATAGTAATTTGTCAAGGAAAAGGACTCCAGCAGCATTTGTAATATTGATAAAACAACTTTACTGAATTCTGCTAAATTTCCATGTTGCTGCTTGCATTTTTTTTTTTTACAAAATACTAGACACGTTCAAGACATTTGAAACTATTTAGGATTAAAATTGGGCAAAGTTTAAAAAAGTGGAGTTGCATATTATACCAAATCAATCACATCAAATCCAATTTAATCACATTTCTCTTATATCTAATTTTATATACACAACCACCATACAAGATTTTGACCTTGGGGTTGATGTATGACTCAGTTTGGGTAATAATTATTTTCAAGATAAATGCAAAGAAATTTCATGAGAATAATGAGAACAATTCCTGGTGGCTGCATGTGCTGTGCTTTTATTGGTGATGTCAGAACTTTGTTTGAAGGAATAACATCAAAGCTAACTGACCAATTTTACTGGTCACTGAATTAAGTTTTATATGTCTATGTGATATACAAGACACAAATCATCGGGATTCCAAATAAGCTGCCGTCATCATTTTTATATTGGTGAAAAATTTCAGACTTTTAATTACAACTTACAATTACACTTTTGTTAAAAGGTATTGCTTTTTTTGCCTTTCTTTCTTTTTTATTTTTTTATTTCAAGCTAACGTAATGAACTAGGCAGTCCAGACGGTTTGCGATCGCTTTAAAACTTCTGACAAGATGGCGGACTCTGGCAAGCCTGGTATTTACTGAGGTGGTGCTAGTTATATAAAGCTTGGAAACCAATCATTTATCAGCTTTAGCTCGGCCGTGTGCGAACAGAACTATTGGAGCAATGAAAGGAATTTTATCTTTTGACTCTTCTGGTTTCCGCAACGATTGTGTGAGATCACCTGAGTGAAAGTGAATGATCTCACGTTTGTGTCCTAACCGCGCAACTTTTTGTGCACATGTGTCCGATGATATGAGAGCTTCTCCAAACCATTGTTTTGTGAACAGTGTTCTGTTTACTCCAATCATAACACCTTAACGCACCCATAAGGGAGAGAATATGTGTGTGCATGTGTGTGAGCGCTTAACCCACAAAGGGATGATTTATGCGTTGGCAGTTGAAGGTGTAAACACAGACAAGTTGGCGCACTCACAATACACACACACCTGGCACACCTCACACCCTTTTCATTTGCCTTTCAGACACAAATGGTTTGCTTATTCACGCACAAAACGCATGGAGCTCTCCCATACTCTCACATGTTCTGTACATAAAAGTTGCAGTGCACCCCACCCTCTCAGAGTTACACACACAGACGTAGAAACACAAAGGGCCCGGGAGGAACGGACGGCGCTGAAACTAGTTGTGTGTGTTGGGTGTTGTCTACAGCTGGAACTGGATCTGGTTACCGAACACTCCCTATTCCTCCCTTCTATAGCTTAACACACACCGTAAATGATGTCCACATGCACACAACTGACCCCACACTTCATCTTGTAAACTGATAAACTGATTTCTCTTGCACACGTGCATGTCAGTGAAACATGCCTGGGGAGACTTTCAGGGTCCCAGTGCACCAAAGTCCACTGAGTTCACAGTGAGCTTACACTATCTCAGAGTGGTTTACAGAGAGAGAAGAAAAAAAAATTGTGTGTGCGCGTGTATACATTTAAAGGTGCTTTCTCCCTGGCGGTTTGTCTAGTATGAAAAAAATGAAACGGTAGAGTGAGATTACCACCTCACCTCCAAACACCAAACGTTCAACTGAATTTGTTTGCATAATGATAGCGTGGCCCTTACTTCTCCTTCATTGTGTCTCTCTCTCTATTTTCCCTCTCAATCAGCTCAAGCATTTATCCTTCATCTTCTTCCAACACCTCCCCTTGCTTTTCCCTCAGTTTATGTGTTTTTCCTCAACCATTCCCCTTCTCTCCATGTGAGTTTTATTGCGCATTTGAGCAATCTGAAATCATTGCATGCACTGCAGGCAAAAAAAAAAAAAAAAGGGGGGGAGCTTACAAACCAGCTGAAGGGGAAGGAAGAGGGGAGACAGACAAAAAAACGACAAATAAAAGACACCTGGAACAAAAGCAAAAAAGCAAAAAAAAAAAAAAAAAAAAAAAAAACACAGGACATGGGGATGAAGTGGTTAGTTAAGCACAGAAAAAAGGGGGGGGGGAAAAC